TCTAGATTGTCAATGCTTCGATGTAAAGAAACTCATGTTTACCTGATATAAATTTTCTGAGTGTTCCATTTGGCACATACTCAAAAATGAGGAAAATTCTGCTGACAGTTGAATCATCTTTATGGCACTCGAAGCAGTGGCCAATTGCACTAACTAGATGAGAATGTCTGAGTTTCGATATCAGCTCGAGTTGGTGTGTGTAACTCTGGATGCTATGCCTTTTTTTCATTTTCAAGCTTCTAATGGCAACAAGAGTACCATCTGTCAACCATCCTTTGTAAACCTGATTAAATAACCAAGTCAAATTATGGTCTCCACCGTTCCAATATATGCAAGACGAGGGGAAAACAAACCGAGTTTCGCATACAGAAAGTCAGGTTGCACAATAATGTAGCAGTGTACCTGTCCATGAGTTTCTTCGCTAATAAGATTTGACGCGTCGAAATTATTTGTGGCCTCCTTAAGTTCTTCCCAAACGAAGGTTCTATAGGGCGGAATGCCAAGCGCTCCCAATTTCATGGTTTCAGAAATATACCCTGTCAATATGATGCATTCAGATTGCTGCATATGATTTGTGCTTGCAGAACTCAGAATTTCTTGTTTGTTCGTTAATTTACAAAAGGAAATAATCATATTCAATTATGCGAAAGTAATTGACTTATGGAATGAAGACAGCAATATGAAAATCTACCAAGCAATTTTCTCGATCAGAACAAAGTTACACATGCATCTATCGAAGTTGACAAAGCTGGAGGAAAGGCAATAAGAATGTGAAGAACTCACTTGCATCCTTTAGCAGCTTAAGTGTGTATGCGGGTGAGATCCTATCCACTATCAGTGTTGTGTGATATTTATCATTTGCCTGCTGCTTATCAAATTTTCTTTTGAAAACCAAAAAGGTCAGGCCAAGAATTGCCGTTGCCCCAACAATCCCTCCTACCATACTTGATGCAAGAACTGCTTTCCCATAAGGCCTTTTTTCCAGCTGTTTTTGAGGAGAGATTCCCACGGCCAACGCTTCGTTGTGACAAAACCGATACGGATGCTGCTGTTGGTATCTCCAAGATAAACAATTGCCTCCAAACAAAACAACCCTGTTTTTAGAATTTTTATGCAAACAATCTGGTAATTCTCCGGTTAGACGATTCTCGGACAAATTTACAAAAACCAGGTCTGTATTGCAGGAGATGTTCTGTGAAAGCTTCCCAGTGAACTTGTTACCAGCAATGTCCAAGTAAGTAAGTGAAGGCAATGACAAAAGTAATGGTAAAAAAGGCCCAACAAATTCGTTTAGAGAGATATCCAGTTTCTGAAGCTGGTAACAAGAGCTTAATTCATCAGAAATTGCAGAGTAGAACTTGTTCTTCCTGAGCACCAAAGAAATCAACTTTGGGGGCAAACTAGGAAACTGGGGTCCAAGATTGTTGTCTGAAAAATCAAGAACTTGAAGATTTGTCAAGTTGTGAAGAACAGGCACTTGCCCAGATAGATTATTTGCAGAAATCACTAAAGTTCTTAGATTTTCCAAATTTGTTAAAGAATTTGGCAACTGCCCAGTAAATGAATTGTTCTTCAAACTCAGAACAGTTAAAGCTGGAAATGAACCAATCCAATCAGGAACCTGCCCTGTGAGTATATTATAATCAAGTATAAGAGTTTGAAGGTTCTTCAAAGATGAAATTTCTACAGGAATGCTGCCTTCGAAATAATTTGAACTAACATTCAGTATTTCCAGAGACGATAACTTTCCAATTTCTGAAGGCAATGGCCCTTTTAGGCCTAATGAAACTAAAGACAGAACTTTCAGGTCTGGAAATCTAGCAAGACTTGAAAACAACGAAACGGTTGAGAAATCTTGAAGCAAATGAGGAACCCAATTATTGCCAGTGACATGAAGCTGAGTTATGCTATCTTCATAGCAGGAGATTGTTAGAATTTGGCTTGGTTCTGTGTTACAGAAATCTGAATTATCACTCCAGCTGCTAATTTCTTCTGGGAAATTCAACAGCTGCTTGATTCTCAATAGTGCCTGGTATTGTGAAGGCTGTAACTGGTTTGAATAATGGGGCAGAAGAGAGAACAAGAAGAAAAGAAGATGAAAAAATGGAGTTAGTTTAGCCATTGGAGTGTTGCATAAACCTGGAGGAGCTTCCAAATGATGAATCAATCAATGTAAAGAAAAACTATTCCCAGAAATTCTGGATAGTTGGAATATTTTGGCTTTCATACACGTGTATATAAGTCCCTCGAGGTGGTAGAAGTTATGCCACGAGGCACAAGTCACAGGTGGAGTTAAGCTTAAGAACCAAAAACCAGAACAGAACAGAACAGTAGAAGAATTTTGTTATATATATATATAAATCATCAAAAATATAATAATTATTATTATTTTAGATGTGACAAAAGCATCTCAATGTGAGCTTCTACAATGCCCGAAGCAAACCAGTCTCTGCAACTCATTTGAGTAATTATTTCACAAGTACAGAGCAAAATGTCTCCTTATTTCTCTCTACATTTCCTAAAATTAAGTTTTATTTTATTAAATTTAGACTAGAATGTTAATTAATAGAGAAATATATTAATAACTCGACCAATTCTTCGCGAAGACTTATTAGTTGAGAAGACCTCCTCAATGGATGTAATCAATCGATCACAACGAAAACATCTGTAAAGGGACACTTGCGAAAAGAATATTTGAGGCCACAAAAACGTACTTTTTTTTTTCTTTTTCCTTTTGTTGGAAATGTAAAGAAGGCAATAATGTCCAAAATATGTTCACATGATCTTATTACAACACATATAAAGACAATAATTCTGATTAGTGATAGGTACTGTACTTGAAAAGAAAGAAATTTGTGTCCTGTGTGTGACAAAGAAAAGTTGGAAATTATTCACATCAGAAGTGGGACCTTTCACCTTTCTAGTCACGGACGTGCGATGTATTTGATGAACTTTTCATACCAAATTACGTTAAAACGATGANAACTTTTCATACCAAATTACGTTAAAACGATGATTTAAGAAATTTGATTTTAATCCGAATCAAACAGGGTCTTAGATTTTATTTGATTAAAAAGTCATTTATAAGATTAAAAAGTTATTTTCGAATACGTTTAAATAATTTTCTAAAATTGTTTTATCTGATTAGAAGAGTTTGAAAGGAAGGTGATCTAGAAATAACTTTTCAAAAAATTCTTCTACGAAAAGTATAAACAAACAAAAGTCCAATGGAACGGACCTTTTAATGTGGACTAATTCATCTACCGACATGTCAAAAAATGTGAATTATTTAAGGTTTATTAGTAGTTTGAAACACGTCGCTTTCAAATTTCTCTACTTTAAATATAACAAAATACATGATATAAAAAACAATAGACAAGAAAAATATAAACCTCGGTCCTCGACTATTATAGGACCAATTTAAAACATTCTCCTAAACATTATTATTCTCTATCGATTTTTTTTTATTTTTTTATAGAAATACAATTATTTCTATACCTCCTTCCTTTTCAATAGGTGTCATCCACATGCCCTGTTTTTAGGATTTCCTACGAGAATTTAATAAAAAAACATAATGACTATGAAGATTGAAAAACTTGTATGTTGTCTTGTTGAATTAACATTGTTATTTTTTCTTTAAATTACAAATAAATTTGGTCTAATTTACTAATAATCCAATGAAAAGTAGAAACCTTAGAGGGACTATACATGACCTCCATATAAAAAAAAAAAAAAATTAATTTTCATGTGGACAAGTATGCACAAATATGTCAGAGAGTTCATCTCACTACGAATTTCGGTTTCCATTACGTCAAATAGAGATTCAAGATTCACCTTTAGATTTTGGAAAAGTTTACTAAGGGGGTGTCACACCTAGAATATAGATCACTTTTTCAACTACATCTCGAAAGTTGATCCCACTTGACTTGACGATTCTTAGTGGCCGTTTGGCCCCATTGTTCCACATTCTATTGAGAGGAATAATAATTTTTTGAAAAACGAGTAATTTAAAAAAAGGAAAAAAATTTAGATTCCAATGTAATATTATTCTATTATTTTGGCACAAATCTTTTTACATCTAGAGAAGCCACCTCACCCTTTGAAATTTTATACACTAGCTTTCAACCACCATTTGTGGTCCAAAAAACTCAATTTTCCCTTCATCTCCTTCTATTCGCTTTCTTCAGCCACATTTCGATGGTGTCGCGTGGGTGAAGTCTTCAATGGGTGGATGAATCGGCTTCTTCGTGCAGGTGAAACTGTTGCTTCTTCTTCGCGTCGGTAAATTGTCGATTTTGAGAAGGTTTAGGATTTCTCTGTGCCTCAGTTGGTTTTGGGGCTTTCGGGGAGTTTTAGGGTGTAATTATTACCGTTATTAGAGGTTTTAATTTGTTTAAATGTATAAATCTAATTTGCTATTTTTTTTAGAGTAGTGGACCTAATTTGTCCGATGGGAGCACGTTAAGCCCACTAACTATAACGTTGGTATGCTTAGAAAAGGCCAAACGGGCTTCATAAGTTAATCCCACATTAACCGAAGCCCCATGAATTGGGCTAGAAATAAGCCCAATAGACGTACATATTTCAGCCCATTATCTTCAAAGTTGTTCGTCTCGAAAGTAGAAGAGATCGTGGCTATGGCTCAACGGTAGCTATTTGAAGAAACACAACAAAGCTACTTAGGTTTTCAAAGGGGTGGGTCTTCCCCGTCCCTCCGCCTGTGGCTGCTCTCACACCTTCAACAATGAAAAGAGAGTTACCGAATTCCTTAATGTAAGTAACAAAAAGGCACTCGCTCGATTTTCTTTATGCTATTATCTTTGTGATATGGATAATGATATTGCCTTCACTTGGCTTTTTTTTTTTTTTAAACAATGGGCTCCCAAGGATAGAGAAGGGAAAATGAAAATGAAACATAGCTATTGAATAATAGAAGAAAAATGAAGGCATCAAATGAAGAAATTAAGCATTTTAAAACAAAATCCAAATGATTTCGAACTCTAATCTTCAACAATATATCTGTTTCTCCGAGCACCAAAAGCGAATCTCTGTAACACGAATAAAAGAAAATGATTAGATCTCAAAATCAAAACTCGATTAAAGTTGTTTTGTATCTAATAATGTTATTCCTTAACTGAGAATATCTGCGAGTAGGCTTTTAATCCCGTGAGGAAACGAATGTAAGTAGGTT